CTGAAGGACCCGAAGCACCTGAAGGATCCGAAGCACCTGAAGGACCCGAAGGACCTTCAGAGAGCTGGCTGAACAACTGCAGAACCTCTTTGTTCTTAAAAAAGTTCCACAATGACTGTACAGACGAGTGAAACGAGACCCGCAATTTAAAAATTACTGATGGTTTTAACTCGAGACATTATTTGATGACAAACTGTGATTTGTTTATTTATTTTTTAATTGTTTACTGCTAAGATGTTGTCAACTGAATCATCTCTTTGTAAATGGTGTTAAATAAAAATCATATAATTGTGAGTAAAACTATTGTCAAATAAAAAACCCTGAGAGTTCCTGGTTTCATGAAGCAGAACACTGAATGAGACGTGAGCTCCAAGTTAAATATGAAGAATGTTTAAACGTCTTTGTCAAACTTTATTATTCATCATTAATAAATAATAATAAATAAAGAATGATAATGAAGAACGATGAGGAGGAATCAAATCGCTCTATCAGCTTCGTTAATTAAACTTCTCAGCACTTCGTGATCCTTCACTGCAAAATCAATGTTTCTAACACATCTGAGGCTGAGGGGGTGAAAGGTCAAAGTGCAGAAACATGGCGTCAAGTCTAAAGTTACACTTAAACAACAAAGTCCATGCTCAATAATCCAGCTATATAATCCAACAATTTTCAGTCAGGTCATCTGGTCAGTTTCTTTTTTTTGCTGAAATGTTTCACCTTCCATCCAGAAGGCTTCATCAGTCAAAGAAACAGAATACGGCGTAACAACAGCAGCCCGAACATGAGCTGAAGGACAAAATGTCTCAGCAAGAAAATAAACCTTTCAGACGACCTGACTGAACATTGTTGGATTTTATAGCTGGATTATTGATCGTGGACTTAGAAGATTTCATCATTTTGTGTTTATTTTTGTACCATTTTGTCAATAAAATACAAAAAAACAAGTTTTAAACTTGCTAAGTATGTAGTGCAGTGTGTGTGTGTGTGTTTGTGTCAGAATCAGAATAAACTTTATTATCATTGCACCGAGATGCAACGAGAACATGTACGTACAGTCTTCTGAAGATGGGCGGAGTGCACGAAGCTGCGGCTATAAATAATCAGCGCGGCCTCTTTTTCTTATTCAGAATAATATTTCTCTTAGGTGAGAAAAGGAAAGAAAACATGAGGAGAGACGGCATAAAAAAAGATCTCTCACTCCGTGTCCTAGACAGGGCACCATTTGAGGCATCAAACAAACCTCCACAGCAAAGCAACATAAACAGACGTTATACATGAACATATAGGCCATGAAAACATTGAATCTTTAAGGGAAAGACGTAGCATAGTCCAGAGCCCCCCCCCCCCCCCCCAGCCATTGTCCAGATAAGAGGTGACGTTCATCTTCAGCTCAGCTGAGGTTCTGTCACATGTCCATGTCCTTGGGGAAGGGAGGGGTGAGGAAACAGTCAAAGCATCTTTGTAATTTTCTGAACATTCCAGGAGGAGTTGAGATAAGTCCGGCATCAAGGCCACAGTTTGGGTCAGGCAGAACTCGTAATTGTTGTTTCTGCCTTTAAAGTCTCGCTGGTATATATTTCTCTGATGGAAACTCCAAACAGCCGTATTGATCCTTTACTCCAAGAGTCGAGCTCACAGCTTCTCCAGATTATTCCCACCTTCATGAGTGCTGCCAAGGAGACCACAGTCCTGATAACAGCTGCTCCAGCTCCCTGCTGCAGCTCCACAAATTCAGTCTGAGTGCTGTCGAGCTTCGACACATCCACACGCATTTACAGACAATCCAGAATTCACCAGCCAAACAGCAAAATAACCAGTTGTCATCATGAATCCAATTTGTTTCCATCAAGGTAAGAGGGTCCTCCTTACCCTGACTCCTGTCAGGAGAAGTTGATCAATTTTGTTGAGAGACCAGCTGATCCTTCCAATTAAGAAGTATGCAGAAAAAAAAAAAA